TCCCCGATCTGGACTTTGGCCTCTATATCTCCCCATTGGCCATGCTGTTTTTCAGCGGGAAAAAAATTGTGCACTGTGTAAGGTGAACGCCATAGTCAGGCGTCCTTCGGAACATTTGTCAAAAGTGGAACGATCCAGACAAAGAAGATTAACATGGTCACTGTGCAAGGATGACGTGCATAAATCGAAAAAAAAAAAAAAAAAAAAAAGGAACCAACCTCTCTCTTTGTCCCCACTTTTACGATCGCGACGGTACCTCATTTTTTCGATCCCATTTTTTTTCTTTCCATCCTCCCCCGATCTCGACTTTGCCCTGCGTTGCGATCGTTCTCCTGCTTGTATCCTCCCTTATGCCTCTCTCTCCTCCCTCTCCATCCATCGTCGTCGTCCTCTTCCCTCCCCCCCCTTCCTCCACCTCCATTCTCCATCATCTTCCCTCCATCATCATCGTCGTTCTGCCTCCTTCTCCTCCGTCGTCCTCCTCCCCATTGGTCGTCCATCATCGTCGTCCGTCATCCTCTTCCTCCATGGTCATCCTAGTCACACTCACCGTTGTTGTCGTTGTCGTCATCACTTTCGTCGGCTTCCCCCCTCCCCTTTCGTGACATCCTCTCCCCCTTTCCACCCTTCCACCTCATCCTCCCCCCCCCCTTCCGCGTCATCATCCGTTTTTTACCCTTCCACGTCAGTTTTCCCTTTTCACCCGCAAAGAGGTTGGACGGAGTGTACAAATGTCGATGTGTTTTGTGCAGTGACAAAAAAAAGTAGATGAGTTCATATTTTATGCACCTCTCCACGAACACGTCCAGATTCGTGCGCCTTCCACATGGCACTCCACGAACATCGATTCATGAGAGAGAGAGAGAGAGAGAGAGAGAGACCATCTGGAGTACAATGACTGTAACATCAATCAATCAATCCCCCTTCCCCACGCTCGCCCGGTGCCACGTATACGTGTCTCTTTCCATCTGTCTGTCTGTCTGTCTGTCTGTCTGTCTGTCTCTCTCTCTCTCTCTCTCTCTCTCACA